GAGAAAAAGGGGAAGAAGGCAGAGTGGAGAACTGTAATTAAGGGCTCTGATAAACATGGATGCTGCGTCGATTACGCAGTGACCTGATTTTCAGCACACACGCACACACATTTACCACCAACACACCCAGTCGCACATGGACACACGCACACACACACACACACACACCTACCTTGACGGCGCAGACGGGCTCACGGGTGTCACCAACGAGGAAGGTAACATCGCATAGCTCGGGCATGGACGCCAGAAACTTCATGTCCTCGGCGAGTCCCGTTTTATTTTCGAACGTTGATAGGTCCGGCTCTGCGTCAGCCATGCCGGGTAATATCAATGCCTCTGGCATTTGGGTTTACTGCAACGATGGAGGGAGTGAGTTAGAGAGAGAGGCGCCAGTTGACATTTAAGCATTGACTTGCCCAAGCGAGGCGCGTGGGTCGGGAATTGAGTTTGAGCCGTGGGTTTAATTGTTGGCCAAAACGGAATTTAATTGAAAAAAGAAATGTGCTATAAATATACGAGCCTGATTCAACGCAGCTCGCGTTGATCCTTTAAGTCAGCAAGGATTCCCAAAGTAATTAAATTGTAATTCAGGCGCACAGACAACAGCAGCTACACACACAACCACACACTCACAACCACACACACACAACCACACACAAAGCACACAGTTGGCAGTTGTCGTCTCTAGCTGTCTGTGGGCAGCCGTGCGTGTAGCACCTGCACTGGATATGTCCTTGAATGTAGCAAAGGCAAATAAATTACAATTACAATGGCGAGAAGAGCCATGGCACAAGGACCACAACAACGACAAAAAGAACAACAAAGCCAAGAACAACAATAGTTCCTACAATATGAACAACAACCAGTTAATAAATGTATAGTCAGTCAGAGGAAAGGGTGCTCTCGCAGGGTTGTTTCACGTTTACAACCTCTCTTGTGCCGAAAATTGTTGCACATTTTCAGGCTTACAAACCGAGTGGAGAACATGCAGCATGATATAACTTGAAATAGGGGTCCAAAACTACGTATGATAGATAAGTAAATATAGTAAATATTTTTAAAATTCAGCATGTTACCTGAACTTTCTTATTAAATAAACAACATTTTAAGATTATTTTTTGAATTATTTAAAGAAATTTACAATATGATAACATATTTTCTAATCAAAAAACTTTTTAAACATTTTGCATTTTACCTGAATTTTGTTGTTATTTTAAAAATTATGAACATTTTATTTTAAAATAATAATAATAAAAAATCGTATTTTAAAAGCTTATCTCATGCTATTTCAAATTTTTTATTAAACAAAAAATATATTTAAATTAGCATGTTATTAATAATAAGCTTAAATTTATTATTAAATTAAAGGAAAAGTCTTCTAGTGTTGCGAACTCGAAAATTTCTGCAAGTCTTATCAAAATAAAAAACAAAAATGGTGTAAAAGTATTCCCAACAAAAAACATAGAAATAAAAACTATTTACTTACCTGTTGCAAAATGAGTTTGATTTCTGGCCCAGTTGAAAAATGTAATAAAGTCTTTTTCCAACGGATTTCAAGATCCGTCAGCGTGCTTAATATTATATCATTTTGACTGCAAGAATTTGGAAAGTTCGACAGAAAATTTGCAGGGCCGTATACATTTCGAGCGAAATGAGAAATTAAATTTACAAAATCAGTTAAAAAATTTGAGAAGGAAAATAATCACGTTATTGAATTTACAGCATGCGGGGGTATATATTGTAAAGCGAGGGGGGAGGGGAGTGTAGCTGGGCGGGGTGACTCCCAAATGTGCTGTGTATAAGTGTGTGCAAAATTTTGTATGTGCTACGCATAAATACGAGGGGGGCGCCGAGCAGGGTGCTAGGACGAGGGCTGCTTGGATTAAGATTGGATTTTAAATTGAAATATGCTCAGCAAATGCTGTCTAAAATTTTGATTCTGGGTAAATTACTTTGCTAAGCGCGTTGGCGATGTACAAAATAGATGTATATAATTATATATATAAATATATATATAGATGTATTCAAGGCTCGTGTCGTTCCTCCGAGTTGGGGCTTTCACTTTCACTTTTCACAAATGCGTGTGTACTTGGCTCTCTACAAGTATTGGTTTGCGTATGTGTCCATGTGTGAGTGGGAGTGTTTGTGCGTGTTAGTCAAGCAAAGCAAAAAAAGCAACACACCCACATATACACATACACGGGCGCGCACACACACAGTCGATGACTCGCACACACAGTCAAACAAATTAAATGCAAAAAGCAAATTTATGTGCGTGTAGATAATATTTTGAAGGACTGTAATGCGACTACAAATGATGACAAATAAACAAGCAACAAATTTTGTTGTTATTTTTTGGATTTTTTTTTTTTTTTTTTTTTGTTAACAATTTCTCTTAAAGCACAGACACACACAAACACACACTGAACACACAGTGAAGTACACTAAACTGTTGTGAACCGTTTCAGACGAAGCACGGGAACGTTCTGCACACGCAGCAGATACTTTTTCAGTGGCATGCCCCGTCGCTGTACGTTGTGGCTCGTAATTATTGTGTCTACATCAAAAGGAGTTTCCTTCGATATGTCGGGCAGCAGCAGCAGTCAACACTGGAGCCCATTGCGCATGTCCTGCCTCAATCGATATACTCAAAATGAGGGGCGCTGGGCAAAAGGCCCCCTTTACCCACACCACCCTACCCGCAAGGGCAACAGTTTGTCGCGTGTTCGTGACAAGAAAACGTGGTGCCCGCAGCCACTTGTTTGCATCCCATCATTACTGGCTGGTACAGGCAGCTCGGCTTGTTTATGTGCCCAGTGCGCAGGTGCCGCCACAAAACGTAAACAATGCTCACAATCTGACAGTTGACAGTTGACACAGGGACACCAGGATGCGGACTGCGTTTTGGGCAAGCGACTGCTTGGCCACTTGACATGCGCTCGACTCTGTGCCTTCTGGCGCCATAAGGCGTGTTTCACAGTTTTCAAGCCATCGCAAAACGATAACCGTAAAAACCAGGGGCACAAAAAGTAAACAAACAAATTTTTGGTGACAACACATGACCTGGCAGCTACTTGAAACGTAAACAGATCGAACACAAAACACAAACAACCCCAACGATCGGCGCACTGTGGGTGTGAATTAAAATAAGCTGCACAAAAATAAAACGTATGTAAATGAGAATTTCTAAAAAGCAAGACAAAGAGCACATTAAAATTAATAATATACAGCTTGTTATGCAATTAAAATTTTAACTAAATATATATGTACATATATATAAATATTTATAGATCATACAAGCCGCTGCATCTCTTAAAATATATAAAAATAATAAAATGAAAATGTTTATTAAAAAATTAAATATATATATTTAGGTATAAATAAATTAGTTTCTCTTAATAAGCAAAACAAATATAAAAAAGAATTAATTATTTATAAAATTAACTCACGGGAAAGGAATTTTGGTATGCACCCTGTCATTTCTGATCTTTACGAATTCGCTAGCAATCCTCAACAGGTTAATGCCTTGAACGTGGGCAAATCGTTTTCTAGAGTCGATTGCAAAGTTCGCCGGTACTTGAATTGTTATATGCAGGCAGCCTGCTCAATTGTTTGGTGTTCAAGCCTTGTTGTATTCTGCTTATTAATTATAAAAATTGTAAAATAAGTAAGAGCGTATGTAACAGGTGGAAGAAAGCATCTCCGACCCCATAACGTATGTATATATTCTTTATCAGCATCAGTCGATCTAGCCATGACCGTCTGTCGGTCCTACCAATATCAGGGCTCAGAATACTCCATAATGCGCTTAGTATCTAAGTTAAATATCGCCAGAATTGTGCAGTAATTTATAAATTTTGGACAAACTGTATTTGCCTTTTAGCAGTGACAGATGGCATTCCTTAACTTAAAGAGATTAGATTTTAAGAGCGGGTTGAAGGTAATATCATTTAGCTGCCATAGTAGCTGCTCGTCAGAAATCATATATATTAAAAAACGAGCGTTTAATTACTCTGCTAGCATATAAACAAAATCTTTTTTAGATCCAAACACTATATCATATAGCTCCCATATGAACAATCGCCCGCAAACAAGCTTCACTATGAGCAAAAACTTCTTGAAAGCGGACAAATGTTATATTTACTTTATGGACACAATCTTTTGTTAATTCATTTTTCTTAATGAATGGCCAAGTATCCAAACATATTGCTGAACTGATTTCTGCAATACACTTACATATTATCTTTGGCACTTCGAGAATAATCCTACTTTCTTGTTGCTCTACCTCTGGCTTTGTATGCACCAAAAACAGCATAGTGTCCACTGTAATTGCCGTCAATATTCAGCTGAGGCACACTTCCGCTTGAGCGGCGATGGATATGAAGTTGAAGATGAAGCAGGGTGAGGAGTGCAGTTGTCGCCTTTGCGGCAGCAGCTCATTAATTACATTCGCAGCTACCACAAGAAATATTGTCGCAGGCAAGACTAAAAATAACTCCGGGGCTGCAACAATCAGCAACAGTTGCAGCATAGTATAAATCTTATGGGGCATGCTCTGATCGGAGGCACAGGAATGCCATGAATTTTCGATGATAGACTCTGCGAGCAGGTAGAAAAGTGCGGCCAGGATATTGTGGCATTGGTGCACACCCGCTGTGTATGATTGTGTGCGTGCAGACGCTCACAAGTCAATTGCGTTGAATCCACTTGACGCGACGCCAGTGAAAACAAACAAACAAACTGAAGGCATAGCGAGACGCAGCAGGGTTGAGGGTTAAGTGACAAGCGGCTACAACAAAAACAACAACAACAACAACAACAGACAAGGATGCTGGCGAGCGGCGCTGAGCGGCGGCGAGCGGCCGTGAGAAAAATCTGAGAAAAATTACAGAAAAACAGCAGCAACAACAGCAGCAGCAGAAAATCCAACGATTGGGATTTGTCTGGTCGTCTTGGGTCGATCTCGATGTGCTCGGCTCCTCAGTTGCCAGTCGACGGTCGCGTCTCTCAGTTGTCGCCGCGGCGCTGTCGCAAGATATAAAAAAAATATAAATAAATATAAATATAATAAATAAATGCTTATTTTTATTTGAGCTACGTGCGCGGATTTAAGTGACTATAATTGAATTGAAAGTGCAAGCTGCGTCAGCCACTGATACAGATACATTTACGGCTACAGCTACAGATACAGATATATTAAGAGATTTGCCGTAGACGGAAACGGATTGAAGGGCGCGTGTTGCACGCTGGCACGCGTCGTATGCCGCTGTGAGTTTCATACCCCCCCACCCACACTCTTCCCCATTCCATGCAATTTTGTGTTTTATAAATAAAGCGTGTTATTTTTGTCGGCAACTGCAGCCGCTTAGCTGCCAAATGCTGTGTATCCATAAGATACACGCACTAAAAACAAAGACGTCGTCCAACTAGTGACGCTTTTATGTGCAATTCACATATTTACAATTTGCGCAGCTCTAAACATTTTACGGCCCCGTTTACGGGCGCAGTTTTTCGTGAAGAAAACCAAAATAAAGCAAAATATCGGCAAGAACAAGCGAATTTTCCTTGCGATCGGTCTTTGACGTCGCGACTTCTTGTTGTTGTTGTTGTTATTGTCGCCGCTTTTCTTGTCTGCGACACTCGCTAAATATAGTATATATTCATGTATAGATATGTTCTCAGTATATAGTTGATTCTATATAAATACAAGCCTACATATCTGCCTGTATATATACTATCTGTGACTTCCGTTTGCCGCGATCGTTCGAGTTGATGTTTTTTGCATTTTGATTTATTGCCGTGCCACTCAAAAGTGCTTGTATTGGGCGGAGGATTTTCTATTAAAAGCAACAAGAAATGTGCTTCTGTTGGAACCTCGAATGATTGCTAATGTCTGCTTGTGTCGGTATGTGGATCAACTTATTAATGATGCGTGCCCAAATGGATTATTTAACTTGTTTTTGTTGTTGTTGTTCTAAAATTGTGGCAATTGGCAATAGGAGATTTTATTATTTTGAGCAGATAAATACGAAAGCATGCCAAGCATTTTAATAAACTGAATTGCAACAACTTTTGACCTTTGAGACTTTATAGTGTCCGTTGTAAAAGGTTGATGTTGATTGATATGTAACTTTCGGGTTAGTTTTTGTTATTGTTTAGTGGACTGGAACAGCACAGTACTTTTGCGAAGGAGACATTTGATGAACTTACTTCTTTGTTTAAGTCTACCTGCCGACAGGTCCTCCAACTCCAACATGTCACAATGTTCCTATTGGTCTCTGAATGATCTGGAACTATCTGTTGGGCAGCCCATTTAACTAAGATAAGGCTAACTAAACTTACATTTAAGATTCATTATTAAGAAGTCTGATTACTTACTATTAACCTTTCCTGTTATTATTATTATTATTTTTATGGTTATTATTATCATTATTATGATTATTGGTTTTTTATAATTTGTATATTCTTTGTATTGATTTTCTGCAAAAGGAATATATATTCCTGCCTAGTACAATAGCCAAGTAATGCCTGCCTGTCCGCCCGTTCATATGTATGAACGCGTCACTCTCAGAGATCATAAGAACTGGATACTTGAAATTATTCACGAGCTCCACCTAAAGATTGTTTTAAATCGTATCATCAATAAATTTTCCCGTTTCCATGAAATCGATCGAAGTTAATATCGCAATACTTTTCTTTGATCATATGTCAGAGCTTAAAAGAGCTAGACACATGAACTATTTCTTTCTTTTGAATAACTCCCCTCACTTCTGCAGAAAATTGTATAAGCTGTGCTATTTACACACATTGGGATGCCATATCTATGTCTTGACTATTTCATAATGAGGGGACGATAGTTTTTAAATAGAATTGACCTTTAACTAATATATAACAACTAGCTGGCGATTAGCTGTCAATAGAATTGTATGCAATATCCAATTACTTGCTGGGGGACAACTCGATTTATTGGTAAATCAATCAAATCCAATGAACAGCAACAGGATGCTGCAGCTGTTGAGCTGTTTGGCAATAACAAGAAAAACAAGCGTCAACCAGTTGCTAGGCCACAGATTATCCATGCGCGCGACTTGGTAGCATGATAAATGCATTTATGCCGCATCCGAGCAACTGATTAGATGAAATTACAGACGCACGCGCCCAGGCAGCAGCAGAAGCAGCAGCAGGAGGAGCAGTAGCAGCAGACGCAAGTGGCGGCGAGGACACAACTGAATCCAATACGTTACCACCATTAAGTCTGAGACAGCCATGAGCATCCATATCTATATCTTTGTCTGTGGCTGTGGCTGTGGCACAAGGCAAGACGGGCCAGCGGGCCAGCGGGCCTTTGGGCCCACTTGCACTTGAGGCGCGTTGCAGGCGCAAATTGAAAAAGGAAACGTAATGCAGGCTAAGCTGACGCATGGCCATGCCCACAGCCAAACGCCCACTGCCGCCAATGGCACTGTTGCCATTTGCCATGCAGCTAAATTAAATTTCCAGCAGTTTGCATTAATTTCCCAAACGCCGACCGACAGAGCGCGCCACTGAGCCAGTATCACGTCGCACCCCACGCGGCGCCTCCGCCATGCAGAGCAAACAGCAACAGCTTTTGCCGCCATAACTTTTACAGCGAGAGTCCTTTAACAGCGAGTAGGCAAACGTCTGTCTGTGTATCCTGCACACAGCTCGATTTCAGCGCAGGATATTCGTTTAACCTGCGCCCCGACGCTGCGATGCTGTGTCGAGAGCCATGAGCCGAGACGCCAGACGCTGTTCGTGTCGCTGGCCGTCGTCTGCCGCTGGATGCTGCTTTGAAGCTGGGCAGCTCCGCACGAGAATTTCCCAATTTCAGTCATCGTTTGCCGAGCGTCGTGCGCGCAAGTATCCAACAGATACGGATACACCGCATCTACAACAACTGCAACAACAACAACATCAAGAGCAGCAGCAGTAGCTAAAAAAAAATAAGAAAAGAAAAAATTTTTTTCCGCTGTAAGAGCATAGAAAATTTTAGTGAAAAAAAAAGTGGAAAAAAGAAAAAGTGACAAAACGCAAATGTGTGTTAAAGTGTTTCTCGTCCTCGGGAATAAAATTAGTTTAGATATCGGATAAAAAAGCAATCAGTATCTGCTAATCTGGCGCGTTATGGTAATTGAAATGATATTTGGGCTTAGAAATATACAAATTTGGCAGGTGGAAAAAGTTGCAAAAGAAAACTCAATTGAAAATCCTTTAAATTAGAAAATGTAAGAAATTTTTGCGAGCTGTAGCAGAGAAAAATTCATTACTTTGCTGGTGTGTGTGCGCGTTGTGTTGTGGGAGTGTGTGTGTGTGTGGTGTATGGTATATGGTGTGTTTTTATGTGTAGTATCTTTTGTGCGCCTCTGTATCTATGTATCTGTGAGATACGCAAAACAATTTGTCTGCGCCATTAGTAGCGAACGTTCCTCTTGACGTGTGCTTGTGTGTGTGTGTGTGTGTGTGTGTGTGCGTGTGTGTGCGTCTGTGTGTGTATATCCTGCGCACAGCAGCCGACGCCGACATAGCTGTGCGCTGCGTTTCGCGTTGGGGCTGGTGATGGTCCAGAGCCTTGGAGCCCTACAGGAGACACCACCAACAGTAGCTGCGGCAGCAGCGCAACATTTGCGGCGTTGACGCAGCTTCAACTCGTCGCAGTTGTTGTTACCGCTGTGTGTGTATCTGCAAAATACGCTCACTCACACACACACACTCATCAATTTCTAAGCTCGCAGATTTTTTTGCAACCTTTTTTGTTTGCTTTTAATACAAATAAAATAAAAATAATTACATTGCGTATTTATATTGTATCAACATTTATGTGCTTCTAATAGGCCAGTCAACATTTTGCCAATATTATGTTTATAACAAATAAACTAAATCAAATGACTAATTAATGAGCTCATGACATGTAAGCTATTTATATTCAATGTCATTAGCTCTAGGCCAAACAGTCTTAATGAAAGGATCTGGTAATTTTTGATTTCTGGGAATTTTCACTAATTGCCAATATTTTTCCTGCAGCTTGTTGATGCAGCCATGACATGCATTATTAATTGCATATAATTCCTGGAAAACCCCAATATGCTTTTCCGATAACATTGTAGAACTTACATGCATTTAATGCACATAACTATGAGAAATTGTTTTTGGAATAGCGATTATGGGCATTGAAATTTGTTCAAATTTTCCGTTAATGTAAATTATACAGCTGATGGATTAATCAGGTTGTTGGTCTCCAATTAACATTGAAACTAAATTCTAAATGTCATTTCTGTTTTTAGTTTTATAAGAAATGCACAAGCCTGACAAACTTTTGTTTCTGATCTTGCATTAAATCTTAATAGTATAGGATTTATGCTAGGTTAAGCTGGCAAATCGATTTGATGGTGGAGCCTACTCAGAGGAAAAAGTTTTATTTTAGGCATGTTATCTTAGAGGTTTTATTATTCTATCTGTGTATGACCTAGTTATCCTTAAAATTCTGCTTAGAGCAGCAAGCTCCCCAGTGTAGGAGATGATAAGCGGGCTTAGTTTTATATAAACTTGATTTTATCTTCAAGTTAATGATATATTTAAAACGAGATTCACTCTGTTGCGCCACCTGGCTGGAAAATTGTAGGAAACTTCAATCAAACTCAATTTCCAAGCTTTTTAAATAATAATATTGAATACGTATTTGGTTCAGCTTATGATAATCCCGAAAACTATTTAAAGAATTCAACAATGCTTTGGTCAAAACCGCATTATATTTGCTGGTGTACTAACATGTTCTGTATGTAGAGTTATTTTTAATCAACTGCTGTCTATTCTATTAGATTTCGACTGTAGTTAATTAAAACTGAAAACCTAAAAACAAATATAATTACAGCGCAAACTTCTCACCGTCCGTTTTAATCAAGTCGGAAAATCGCTGTAGTTGCAGCATCAGCAGCAGCTTTGCAATATGCGCTCGAGTGAGCTTTCCTTAGAATCAGCGCCAAGTGGCCGCTTCAGATAAACTGACGCTGCCAACTAACTAGGGAGGCGCGTGCGGAAAACTTTACCATCCGACCACACACACACATACGTATGCATGCATACACAAAAAGATATAAATAAAATTGACATATTGCTGCAGTTCCTGTGGCCTGGTTGATGATCTCCTGTTCCACTTGACGGGAGCAGCGACAGCGAGATGTCCCCAGCTCATGTGCACTTGTGCGTATTTTGAACCCGTTCCGCCTGTCTATCCCACTCCCAATTGCACGCCCACTCCCCATACACTCCCTCGCCCACTCCAGCTCCAGCTGGCTGACATGCTGCTTTGGCTAGTTAGCTCTAGAAAACTTTGGTCCTGGCAGCTCATTTTACTGCGCTTGGCTCAGCTTCTGCTCGCACAACTTTCAGCTTCAATTGCGTTTCCGTTTTGCACTCGCTGCGCTGCGGGATTGCGTATACGCGCCGTGGCACCGAGTCTGAAGGCTCAACTCGCTGCTTTTGGCACATTTCGCCTTACTTCTACTAAACATGTGTGTTTGTGTGTGATTGCAAGTTTTGTGTGTATTTACAAATCTGTTTTGTTGTTGTTTTCGTTTTGCTGCTGGTTGTACAACTGCGGCAGCCATTTTTTATAGCATACTTAGCGTACTATGAAGTTACACACACTCGCAGAGAGAGAGAGAGAGCAAGTGTGAGAGAGAGATAGTGAGTTAGTTCGCTAAAGCGAGAGAGAACGACAGGGAGAGCGAGAGAGTTATACACACTTTCACGCATAGCGAGTGAAATTCGCTGTATTTTCTTGCAGATTTTCGGCAGCTACAAACAAATTTCCCAACTTTCTCGCATGTAATGTTTTATTTTGTCTCTTTTGCTGTTTGCCTCGCCAAAAGCAACGATTGCCATTGGACGAACGACAGCAGCAACAACAACAACATGTGGCTACAAGTTCTATATACAGGCAACACGAAAATGGCTAAAAGAAAAATTTCAATTCCAAATACAACAAATGCACTTCTGCCTATATCTTAGCCCACCACCCTCCCTCCCCCACAGCTGCACAGGCCGCCAAGAAACCCAAGAAAAAACGAAAATGGCGTTATATATGTATGAGTAGCTGCCTATGTGTGTCTTTGTGTGTGTGTGAGTGTGTGTGTGTACATGGCCAAAGTAAAATGTTAAAAGTGAAATTATACGACGCCCCAGAAAATGTGTGTAGTATTTGCAGCGAGTAGCTAAGTCTACCTAAATAGTACAAATATAGAACTAGCTGAATAGTTCAAATCCCTAAAAATTGAATTTGTTTTTCCAGATCAATTATTGCGATTATATATCCATGCCGCAACGGCAATTATATGTATTTCTGTTAGCAGCTACAACAAAGATAAATAAGTACTTGAATATTTACAGAAATATGCGGATTTCAAATATTCCCAAAAAATTTACCCGAAACAAATTTATAATTTACAAAATCAATCACGGAAAACATCTGTATAAAAATGTATGTGGCACATAGAGATATACAAATTCAAGAGGCATATTAAAACAAGAATAACTATATATATGATAGATTGTTCATATCACTCGAATCATGCCTGTCAAATTAATTTTTCGCACACATAATGAAAATAACCTCTGAGAAAATTGCACTTTAACAAATATTTATTAACCGGTTCAATGGCTTCAGGAATTATTCCCAGAATTTTAAGGTATTTTGCAATTTTATACAGCCATAAAACATTTCATATTTATTTTCTGCCTCAATGCGTTTTTTTGTAATATAACATATTTTAGATGTAATGACATTTAAAACAATATAATTTTCTGTGGGGTTCGCATCATTTTAATTTTGCAATTAACATGTATTAAAAAACGTTCTCGGAACTTTTGACACACGTTCTTTGCTAGACCACAGTTGTGTTCTATTTTAAGAAATGTGCTTATGTGAAGCAAAAACTTTTTCAATAATATAAATTAGTTGAAAAGCAAACCACAAAAGTCAGTAACTTTTTTGGTGCTAGCCAAATAAGAGAGATATATTATATATATTACGAAAAATTTGATTGTGCACTCATGTGCAAGGCTTGTTTCAGTTCCAAGAAGTCTTTCCCCCAGAAGGTAGGAGCACTTAAGAGCTTTATCATTGACCCATTTTCGGTTAGTTTTAGACTCCATTAACAATGCAGGCAGCTTGTGTGCTTGTTTGAGACAAATTGCAAGCTGCACTCGGCACTCGGCAAACGTCAAACAAACTGAATTCCAGCATCGATTTTTATTTTATTTTTGTATTTGTTGTCCTCATTGTGAGACTTTGACCATGAGATGGGTAGCAAGCAGCCCTTTTCGCTTACTAGCCGGGCCTTTATTGCATTTTTCGTGTTCTATTGTGCGAAAATTGTTCAATGCCTGGCGGCTGGGCTCAAAGTGCATTTAGCATTTGGCAGCTGACAGTTTCTGGATATTTGATGTTATTTGATGCACACAGCCCCTCAGGCCTCGGAGAGGGTTTACGTGATTGCACCAGCTGCATTGACTGTGGGCTGTATGCTGTGGGCGATTTGTAGTATTTCAATTGGATGTTTATGCTCTATTCGCACACTTCTATAGGGTATATGAATTATTATTTTTTAGAAAATAATTTATACTTTTCAGCAAATTTCTTTTTACATATTAGAAACTATTTGCTACTTTATAAAAATAAATTCTGATGAGAAATATATTTTGAAAAGAACCAACCATTCTATGTCACTATGAATATTATCTACTTAAAGTTTAATAGTCACCGCCTTAGAGTAACGAACACCAATAATCAAGGCCGATGTTAAGCTCATCTTCAAGCTGGAAGCCGAGTGTATATGCGCAGTCGTTGCTACCCGATGCAACCACTTCGTTTCGCGTAGGTGACAGGTAATGGAAACAGGATGTTAAAGGGTTAACAATATGAAAATGTCAGAACGTGGGCATATGTAACGGTATCTGTGGCACGTGCTAAAAGTCAAAAGTCATGAGCCGTTTTTAATTTGCATATTCGTTGCTCTTACTCTCATTTACAGATTGTCGCTCAAGTTGCCGAACCACAACAACAGCAAAGCTAACAAAGCAAAGCACACACGCACACTCCCACACGCACATTAGCACACGCACATAAACACACGCCCACACGCCCGCATACACACTCACATACACATACACATAATAGCGAGCAATGTGCTGCCTGCATCTGAAGAACTTTAAATGCGCGATTCGAGTGCCCGCCCAGCGGTCAGCAAAGACATTGCCCAAGTGCCATAAGAGTTAAAGCGGCAGCCAGTGGTACCACTTAAAGGTTAGCGGCAGCTGCTGCGCATAGCCAAAAAGCAAAAGCACTCATAAATTGTCACAAGTATTCACACACAAATACACGCAGCACACTCGCACACACATTTGCACGCTTAAACAGCGTCAGCTGTACAGCATGCCACGCCCACTGGTGCTGCTGCTCAGCCTGGTGCTGGTGCTGCTAAGCGGGCCGGTATGGGCGCAGCGTCCGCTGCTGAATCACACCTTCAACTCGCTGCCCATGTCGCAGCACCAAAGCAACAACTACAACAACTACAACTATCAGGGTCCGGGCAAGCAGCTGCGGAATGGGCGCCTGCACGAGCAGCCGCAGCCGTTGCCGCTGCCCACGCTACCGGGCCTGGCACAGCCCGTCCATGTCTATGACGACTACGAGGGTGAGGCGAGCGCGGGCACTTTTGGTTCACGACCACCCCCGGGCAGCCGGCGCGATACACGTCGCCGCCTTAATCTGTCGAACGTGGGCGCAGGCGGTGCGCCACGCCCCGAGCGCGGCAACGGGCAGCGCGGTATTGAGTCGCTGCGCAAGGAGCTGATGAAGCCATCGGTTGGCGGACCCGGCGGCGGTATCTCCGGTAGCAGCGCCGGCTATGCCTCCTACTCGGCCACCTCCTCCATTGGCAAGATCGATGGCCTGGGCGGCATCGGTTCCGCAGATCGGTACGGCGAGCGACTGCGTCAGCCCACTGGTGCGGCGGCCATGACAGCTGGTCCGGCAACGGGGCCATATTCCACAAGATTTCCGCCACTCTACGCGGGCTTGGATAGCCAGCCGATACGTACGTACCCGCGCAAGAATTCCATCAGCGAGCTGCTCAAGCTGAAGAAGAGCTTTAACCAGGCGGACGAACCGGCCGGTGGTGTAACCCATGGCAACATGGAGGGCGACACCGATGCCGATGTGGATCAAATTGATCCCATACAACAAATCAAGGAGCGCATTCGGGACACAGCGCCAAAGCCGGTGAGTAGTGGGTAGAGGAGTCCATTCAGCGCTCGATTGGAAACTCAGTCGTTTTCACTTTTTGCCTAATTCCTGCTAAACATTTTTTTCTCTGCTCATGCGCCACCTTATGTAGAACACCTATTCACCACACACGGAATCAACGCCCTCTACGGAAATCGAAGATTTGCTGGGCGTTAAATGCAACTTTGAGACGTCCTGCGCCTGGATTTGGACAGAGAATCTGTCCGATGGTTTTCAGGTGCTCAGCGGCACAGAGCTGGCCAAGAAGAATATGACGGGTCTGTTGCCTGGACCCGTAGCGGATAGCATAGACGATGCCAATGGTCACTTTTTGTATGCCCGGGTGCAGCCCACCACAAAGCAGCTGAATCTGACCTCGCCGTCGTTTAGCACCACTTTGGAGAAGTGCTATCTGGAGGTTTACATGCATCAGAGCGACATGAGTCATGGTCTGTCGCGTGTGGTCGTGGAGCCGTTGCATCCGCAGGAGAGCAGCTGGGTGCCGGCCGAAATACAGGGTGACAATTTTCGCTCGTGGACGCACAAAATATTTCGCCTCGGACGTATCTCACGTGATTTTCGCATCGTATTCGAGATTGTGCCCGAGCTGAAGCAGGGCCAGAAGGCGCATGTGGCACTTGATAATCTGCGCATGGTCAATTGTTTTCCGGAGGGCACCAAGTCGGAGAAGTGCAGCACCTCACAGGTCAAGTGCATGATGAACAAAGTGCCCGTTTGTATACCCCTGCCACGGATTTGCGACATCACGCGCGACTGCGACGATGCCGAAGATGAGCTTCAGTCATGCGGTATGTTTCCACAGATCATATATCTTTAGCTCAATAGTTCATGCTGTTATCTCCTCCAGACAAGATACCCTATGGCGGTCGCTGTGACTTTGAGGATGACTGGTGCGGCTGGCGCGACTCTGGCAGAACCACATTGATTTGGTCGCGACACACTGGCTCCTCGCCCACTCACGACACTGGACCCGATGGCGATCACACACAACAGCATCTGCTGAACACCACTGGGGGCTATTATATGCTCGTCAACATGAACCAGCACATCAACAACACCGAAAAGAGCTCGACTATTGGATTTGCCAGCAATGCCATCATGCTCAGCAAGAACTTCAATCCGCCGCCCTCTGTGCATGGTAATCCCGACTCGCCCTATCGTAACTCGTGCGTGGTGCGTTTCTACATCCATCAGTTCGGCAAGAATCCAGGCAGCATTAATCTATCCGTTGTCGAAATGAAGGAGAAGGAGAATATAACCACCACGCTCTGGTGGAGCACCAGGAACCAGGGCAGCGACTGGCTGCGCGCCGAATACGTGCTGCCCAACATTACGTCCAAGTAGGCAAAACATACTCATTAGCCCACTGAAAGTCCCCCATTAAACCTGAGATATGTCTTCACAGATACTACTTGAATTTTGAGGCGCGCATGGGCATGCGCATCTTTTCGGATGTGGCTGTCGACGACTTTTCTCTGAGCCCCGAATGCTTTGGCCTCAACATACCCGAGGAGCATCTTAACGGATACAATTATTGGGACGTTAGACAAAATCTCAAGAGCCCGACACATCACGACTTTGACCATACCAACTGTAAGTGAGAGATCTATGTTTATGTATATGAATCTTGTACCCTGACCCCACCAAAATGTCTTAAAAAATTTGTAAAAGGGAAGGAAGGGAAAAATCCCGAAAAACGTTAGTATGAAACTTTTTTGTTTACCATTCAATCGGCCTTAAACTCATTTTCAAAGATCTTCGTTCAAATTCATTTGAGGGGTGTTTAACACTTTTCAAAAAATGTATTTCTCCTTGGTGGAAATGGGGGTCAGACATTTCGTGGGTGACGTTTCGCGCTCAAATGAATTTCCAAGGATCTATATGAAAAATTGATTGAGTAATGCGATTCAACAAAGTTTTAAGTTTGGTCCGATTGCTTAAAACTTATTTTAAAAGCTCTACATAAGCAATTAATGAATACGTGTTCAGCGATTTGGGAAATTCCACCCAAAACAGTGGTTAATTAGCCAAAAACGGTTGTATGAAAGTTTTTACTTACCTTCCGATCGGGCTTAAAATCATTTTCTTAGATCTTTGTTAGAATTTATTTAATACGTTCTTGGGTGGCTCAAAGGTTAATAAACGAAAGTTTATTCTTCAGCTTCAAGATTCTCACCGCAAGACTAACATGGGCGGTAATTGTTGATTTCAACAGTTGGTTCTCTATTTGATGCACATAAAACATATATTTAAACATAGTTGAAGATCAAGATGGATAGATTTAAACTTTCCATGGACGTGTACTTAGTGGAAAGGTGAAACCTAAATTTTTTAGCACAAGACGTTGCACGCGCAAGGCCGGGCAATACCCGCTAGTACATATATAGATGGATGACCCAATTCTTGTAACGTCGTCTCGGCGCTAGATTCAACTCCTAGTCGGGCACTTCCGACTTTTTTTAAAGAAACCTAATCTTATATTTTATATCTACCACCATTACAGATCTAGAATTGACAACTTGCGACACAAGAGGCATGATAGGACCAACGCAAACGCAATGCGAAAGCGCCTACAAGGAGCAGAATCAGAGCCATGTGCTCCGCGAAGTCCACGTTGTGGAGGATCAGAGCACCTACAAAGGCATGCAAAAATGGAAGGTGCCCAACGAGGGTCACTACACGTAAGTTTATTTATTCTTACCCAAGCTCCAGTTCCTCAACTCAACTTCCTCTCTGATTGGTTGCATTGCAGCATCATTGCCAAGGGTGCCAGTGGTGGTCTGGGTTCTGGAGGCGTGGGCAGTTCGCGTGGTTCTGTGGCCGTCGCTGTGCTGGAACTGCTCAAAAACGAGGAGCTCTATTTCCTAGTTGGCCAGCAGGGCGAAAATGCCTGCATTAAGTCCATGGGAGTGCACAAGGAGGCGGGCTGCGGCACGGAGCATGATCTGGACCTGGGACAATACAGTTTTCGCTCCAAGCAGGACATGGTAAAGAACATTTACATTGAGAATGGCGCTGGTGGCGGTGGCGGTGGCTCCTTTGTCTTTCTGCTCAACCAAGCCAAAAACGAGGCGGTCCCGCTGCTGGTTGCCGGCGGTGGCGGCGGCCTAGGCATTGGCCAATACATAGATGAGGACTTTCAGCATGGCCAGAAGGCCAAGCCATTGCAGGCGCCTGAAAGTGGTCAGATCCACGGTGAGCAGCTAAACAAGAAAACCGCCGGACCCGGCGGCGGCTGGCGCGCCAAAGAGGATCAGGCGTTGAGTCCCACCTATGGCGCTGCGCTCCTACAAGGCGGACGCGGCGGTCACTCCTGCTACGTGGAGCTGGCAGACAATGGCACCACGGTTCATAGACATGGCCAAGGTGGCTTTGGTGGCGGCGGCGGTGGCTGCAACACCGGTGGCGGCGGAGGCGGCTACGCAGGCGGTGATGTTTACCTGAACGAGTCGAACGGCGAAGGTGGCAGCTCTTACATTAGCAACAGTCGCAGCCTCAGGGATGCCAGCGAGATATATGCGGGCGCCAGCAGCGGTTCAGGTGCCATTATCATTATTCCAGCCATTGAGGGTTGCGGATGCGACTATCGCTGCGTGGCCCTGGATGAGTTTAGGTCCAAGGTGCGATGCATCTGTCCGGATGGCTGGAGCCTGAAGCGGGACAACAACACAGCCTGTGAGCGACAGGAGGAAGCCGGCAAGTCTTCCTTCCAGTATCTGGTCTCCATACTAATGATCTCCCTGGCCGTGCTCTTCATCTGCATAGCTGCGCTCATATTTATGCTATGTAAGTTGGCGCCCCTGCCCTTCAACAGTTCGTTTCATTTAATCTTCTTCCGTTCCATGCAGACAATCGTTACCAGCGCAAGAAGCAGGCCAAGATGCGCCACAAAATGCTCGTCGAACAGGATCTGCAGCTAAGTCGCCTGCGCCACAACATTGACGACTCCAATCTGAACAATTTTAATCCTAACTATGGCTGCGATGGCATTCTGAATGGTCACATAGATGTCAACAGTCTGCCGCAGGTGGCACGCGAGAGCCTACAGCTGGTCAAGTGAGTATGCTCCAGATTCCTGGCAACCACCTGGCTAACTTTCACTCTTTCTCCCATCTTACCATAGTGCTTTGGGCAAGGGCGCCTTTGGTGAGGTCTACCTGGCGCTATATCGCCATCGCGATGGCGATGCTGTGGAAATGCCAGTGGCTGTGAAGACACTGCGTGAGGATCCCAAGCGTGAGAAGGAGGAGGATTTCCTGAAGGAAGCTGCAATTATGGCCAAGTTCAATCATCCGAATATGGTGCATCTAATCGGCGTCTGCTTCGATCGTCAGCCCTACTATATTGTCCTAGAGCTGCTCGCCGGTGGTGATCTGCAAAAGTTTTTGCGTGAGAATCGCAACACGCCCGAACGACCCTCGCTGTTGACCATGAAGGATCTGTTATTCTGCGCCCTGGATGTGGCCAAGGGCTGTCGGTACATGGAGAGCAAGCGGTTCATTCATCGCGACATTGCCGCTCGCAACTGTCTGCTGAGCAGCAAGGGTCCGGGTCGGGTGGTGAAAATAGCTGACTTTGGCATGTCCCGGGATATATACCGATCCGATTACTATCGCAAAGGCGGAAAGGCTATGCTGCCCATCAAATGGATGCCGCCGGAGGCTTTCCTCGATGGCATATTCACATCGAAAACGGATGTCTGGTCCTTTGGCATACTGTTGTGGGAGGTGTTCAGCTTAGGCCGTTCGCCATATCCCGGCCAGCATAATACACAGGTCATGGAGCTGGTGGTGCGCGGTGGACGTCTTGGCTCGCCCACCGAATGTCCCGTGTCCATTTACAAGATAATGGCCGACTGCTGGAATCCCACGCCCGAGGATCGTCCCACTTTCACCAGTCTGTTGGAGCACCTAACCGCCTGCACACAGGATGCAAGCATTATGAATGCACCGCTACCCAATATACTGGGTCCGACGGCCTCCGAGCGTGATGAAACTGTTATACGGCCGCCAAATGGCGACGAGTTTTGCCTAGCTGTGCCGGACTATCTGGTGCCGCTGCCTGGCAACGGCATGCCGCATGCACCCGGTGGTGTTGGTGGCTCCTATGCACCCACTGCTCAGCGCCAGCAAAACACCTGCACGCCGCCAGCTGTCACCTCGCCCGCCGCACCCAAGCCACCCTCAATGCCGGAACAACTGGAGGGCGCCGCTGCGCTTAACGGCGGCGGCAGCGATTGCTGGGAAACCTCCTTCATACTACCCAATTCGAAGAGCGATCAGCCGCTGCTCAGCGCCGGCGCGATCACGACGATGGCCAGCGGCGATTCGCAACGCAATCTACAAGCGGCTGCAGCCGTCGCATCCATGGCTGCCTCTGCCACGGCCACGCCCATACTACGCTCGCCCACGCACAGCGATGAAGCAAAGTTGATTAGCTTGGATACACCGCAGCCGACGCCGACGACCATACAACCGCCGCTGTCGTTTGCCTCACAACTGGACGGCATCACGCTAGATCCGGCGGCTTTGACCAAGAGCCTGGCCAACGGTGGTGCACACAATGGTGGTACTGGTCCCGCTGGTGGTGCTGCCGGTGCTTTAGGTGTTGCCGCCAATGGCAGCGCCAAGCAGTCCTATGCCAATGTACAGGTGCAGCTGAAGGGCGAACAGGAGCGGGAGTGCAGCAAACTAAATGGCAGCCTGCCCGCTGGCAATGGAGCGATTATCAATGGAGAGACATCGACGGGCGGAGCCAATGCAAATGACTCACCCTTCACCATACAAGGCTATGCGGAGCGTTACAAGGACAACAACAATCATTCCGAAATCAGTTGTTAGAGCAGCATAGCAGAAAAAGTTAAGCACAGGGTGACTGTGTGTGTGAGTTTACCGCTACAGGGTGTCGCACGGCTGCAGGCTCAAAGCTTGCCGAAAGCCGAAGTTATCGATAATTTATCGCAGCTTGTGAATACGGATATGTCTTGTTTAGGGCCCCGGCCCAGTCACATTTTGTTTGAGAGCTAAAACGCATTATGCACATTTATGGCAAAAACAAACAGAAAAAAAAAAAAACAAATCGAGTGAGAAGTTCACAAAAATTGTATTGTAATTTATAATTAAAAATTTGTATGCGTCAAAGAACTCACACATAATTACATATATGAGAAACAAGAAAAGAAATAATAATGAAAATTAGTTGAAAATTAGTTTTAGTTTTAGTTTAGTTTAGTTTAGTTTTTGTAAGCCATTAGTTTGCCAATTGCAAGAGGTTGTATATACGTATATTTGATGTATTTAAATATCTTGAGTTTGCCGCAATTTTTTATAATTGAATATTATTTTATTACTTAAGCTGCTGACTGAAATGCTAAACAATATTCCTAAACAACAAATTTGCTTATATTTTATACGTATAAACCATGTAGTCGATGTGTGTCCAACAGACAACAATAAAACATACCAACGCATAGTCATTTATTGATTTATTTTAGTTATTTTCCTAATTTATATTTTGTAATGCAATGTAGTCTATATTCAAACAGCGAGCATATTTTTAATATATATTTTTTAGTACCCTTTTTTGCTGTTTATTTTTTTACTTTTGTTTTCGTATTGACCTGTAAATAAAAGCTTCCGTCGTAGCATATGAACTTACGTATTTTATATCTAAGCTAAATTTAGCATGTAAAATATATATACATATATAAAGATTATAAAAAGAAACAAAAAGTAAAAACTACAATTTACAGGGTGATTTTTATGAAAATTCAGTTGTATGTTTGAAAAACAAAAATTAGCGTTAACCAATTACGAAAACAAAAACAAAAACGTGTTTTAAATTTAGTTTAAACATTTTTGTTGGGCGCCATATTTAATTTTAAAAACAACATAAAATGGTTAATGAAATTTGTATATTAGTGAGTGCAAGAACATATTTGTAAAATATTTTTTTTTTTTTTTCAATTTTTGCGTTGACCAACCGAAAGCAAGCAGCGGCTGCTTCAATTGTGCAACTCGCATTTGTTTAAATAATTAAGGAATAAAAAAAGAACAAAAACAAAAAAACGTTGTTTTTGCATGTGTTAAATTGCAATGCATTCAAAGGTCGAAGGTCGAGAGGTGGTTATTCAAATTTTTACATTTAGTTCAGACGTAACAAACAAGCTTTAAATTATATAATTTTTATAAAAATATATATACACATGGCATAAAATATACAAAAAACAAAAAGAAAACCAAAATGAAAAGGCATACATATTTATATTTAACAATAAATGTATGCATTAAAAATCCAAAAACAAAAACTTGATAAATTATACAATACACAAGAAGAAAAAGAAAAACATTGAGCTAAAATGGGCTAATTTGTGCGCCAGGCTTAGTAAATATATATTAACGAAAAATTTAATTTATATGATGTATATGTACGTATGTATATTAAATGTAAGCATATTCAGTGTGTGTTAACGCCGGCATATAGGTATATACTTATGTATATGGATATGACATCTAAGAACACAAACCCAAATAAACAAAATGATAACGATAATATGTATGTGTATGTTTTGCTTATGTACAAGTCTACAGTTATATGCGCATACATTTATATAAATACATATATACTAATATATATATAAATATGCATATATAAACATAATGTATCTAACTATATATACATACATATATGTATATATATGTACGACAAAACAAATAAATTAATGCTGAATACGCAAAACAGAATACATAATATTCGAGTATGTAAATTACATTCAAATGCATAGGTAAAACATCAACAAGGATGTGTACAAACAAAAATGAAAAGTTAAAAAAAAGAACTTAAAAATAAATATGCATCACATTAAATCACAAAATGAAAAGAAACGAAAATATGCTTCAAATATATGTCAACATTCACCGCTAACAATTTAGAACTTAACTTAAAACTTACTTTTTGCTCAAATGTGGATCGCAACAAATTGATTTGCATTCGGTTCTTTGCGATTGAGAAACTAAATACATTGCATATTTACGTATGTCATGGAGTAACATTTATACTATATGTACTTACTTATATATGTGTATCTATTATGGTTGTGCCGAGGCATGTAAGGGCGTCTCTGAAAATACCCCAAATACAAATACATACCTACCAAAAAAAAAAGAAACAAACAAAAAGAAAATATGCGTTAAATGTAAGCGGAATACAGAGTTCAGTAACTTGTATGATTATTTCACTTGTATTATGTATGGTTGTAGTGGATGGGTCGAAATTGCATATAGTAATCACGATCATCATTTGAAGCTCCTCCATAGGTTCCTTCAGTTGGCCTCTGTGTGTCCACATTGTACCCTGATGATTCTACCTTGTGTACCTAAGTCCAAAACCTGACAAGAGTTACATACATACATATTTATCGCAAATACCAAATACCATACCATTGTTAATGTTGGCGCGCAGTTCATAATCTTTCTTTAAATAGTTTCCTTCAATTGCAGACCATCCACTGCTGCCCTGGCCAGAGAACATATTTACATAAAGTATATATCGAGAGTAGTTCTTGATCTTGATATCTATGATTTTCAGCGTATATGCCGCCAACCAAATATCAGTAGTTTTTTGGTACACTTCATTGCTCAACAATAATATGTCGCAACGAAATTTATGAAAACAAATATACAAAAACAAATACTATAACAGTGCGAATTATTTAAGCGGAAATTAAAAAATTGATATAAGTATATAAAAAACAATAAATAGTATTTTTTATATACTTAAAAGTTAAAACAAAGGAAAAGGAAGGAAAGTGGAAAAAATCCAGTTGAATGCAAAGTATAACAAATAAATAAAAAGGTACAGGCGTAAACTAGCTCTAGCTATATAAATATTAAATATAATAAAGTAAAATTGAAGGTTTTCATTTAAATGGTAATATTTATTTTGTTACATTTAAAACAAAACAAAACAGAAACAAAACATAATAAAAAAATATAAAGATGATATTGTTGAAGAAGAAAACAGAAACGTAAAGACTAGAAAAAACATTTTGTACGCAAAAATGTGAGTTTAGATCGTGAGGCAGTTAGTGAAAAAGTGTGTGCTAATAATAAATAATATTATGGAAATTATGAAAATTATTAAATGCGTGGATAATGGGGCGCTTGAGGGAGACAAATTGAAAATTGAGTATTAAACATATGCAAAATAAACGGCACAGCAAAAAGTCCATTTAGTGTTTACTAAAAATACACAATTCGAAGGCAAAGCACATAAAATAAAAAATGCATAAATACATATAAGAAAAAAAGGTTTTGCTGAAACAAAAATTTTCAACTGAAATCTATCGAACGAAGGACATTAAACTTATAAAATATTTCTTTAAAAACCATAAGCTAAACAAAAAGAACTCTTTAAATATACAATATGTGCTTAATTTTTATGAAAACTATTTATGATTTTCGCAATTTTCACTGCATAGTAAATACGAAAAATATTTAAAAAAAAAAAAAAGGAAAAAACAAATGGTAACCACCTTTTCTCAAATATTCTACATGTCTCAATATCAAGCCCCTGTGAACAAGTTTGTGTGCAATTTAATTGAACACAAACCGAATTTCAATATATGTATGAGCATAAGTAATGGCATTTTTTGTATGGAACATTATTAGTTTGTCCTGGTTTTGTCTATGCTGAGAATTAAATGACATTGCTCTTTTAACTCCATAATCACAACATCTCACAAGCAACAAAGCTAAAAAAAAAAAAAAAAAATAATTAAATTAAAAAATGGCATATGGCATATATAAGTATATTGAGAAATCACGAAAGCCAACGTAAAAGACAATTTTAAAGATGGTAGCGTGTAAGCGCATGAATTGTGAAAAAAATATATAATAATAAATGAGAATTCATGTGTACAAAAAAAAATTGAGCCGTGTTTTCATATCAGCCGAACCCATTGAAAAAAATCCAGTATTTTTTTTTACAATTTCCTTAAGGTTTTTTATTTTTTATATATTTTTTCTTTAGTTTTTTCTTCAGTTTTCTGCATCTTCGTCTCTAATGAAAAATTACTAAATTGAATTATTTGCATGCCAATAAGAACTAAATCCGTTAAATAGCGTTTTACAATTGGTTGTATAGATTTTTTTCTCGTATTTTTTGTTATAGTTTTAGTTTATATTTTCTCTAGGCTCTAGTTTATATAACTGTTATACAAAAAAAGAGGAATAAGTCGAGTTTTCTAAATGTCAAAAACGTTTCGATTTAACTTCAATCAGCAAAGATATTTTAGCAATAAGACAAATTAAAGTTTATTCATTATATTGGAAGTGTTCTTGTTGTTGTTGCTTTCTTTTTTTTTATTAATGCGCTCCAATTTACAAAACGTATTTATAATTGTTTAAAATAAAATTTAATAAATTCTAGGCGTAAGATAAACATAATTAATTGCACGAATTGTCTTTGTATAGAGCTAGACCCCAAACTTATGAGCTTGGTTTCTTTTTACCCAATTCATAGCTCGGACAACAATTTGGTTTAGTTTGAGCTAATGAGAAGCGGAAACTGAATAGATCTACTAGAGTTATGGATGCCCCTGTTTTTGATACTAATTGGATGGAATGTTCTTACTATATGTTTCTCTGTGTTTCAATTTTAACTTCGCTTTGTTAGTTTTTTAAAATTTAATTTATAATATAAATTTAATAATGACGTTTCGCTAATTGTGTATACAATCTCATGTCAAAAACTTCGATCAGCTATTTATATATATATACATATATATACATGTGTATATGTATATTTATATATATATATATATATATATATATATATGTATTTGTATATATAATTTTGTTGTTTATTAACTTCACTTTGCTTTTTCTTTTTGTTTTTAGGCTGATTACGCTTAATTTGTAGGCTGCAAATGCTAAGAAATTATGTTTGATGTTTATATAAATATATTTTTCGTTTAATTATTTATTGTTTTGTTTTGTTTCATTTTCGCCATATTTTTCATAATATAGTACATATACATAAATTGAATTTTGTATATTTATAAACTGCATGTTTTGTTTTTCAATTGTTTGTTTTTTTTTTTTTTTGTATATAATTCTGTTTTTGTTTTGTGGGTTTTTGTAATATATAAATTGAAAACTTAATTATAATTGTAAAAATGTTAAAACTAGTAATAATATTTATAATTAATTAATTAGCATAGTTTACGTTACGTTTATGTAATTTAAAGCAATAACAAGCCATTTTTATAGTTTTTTTTTTCATTTGTTTTCTCACTAATCGTTTGATTTTTGTTTTTTTTTTTTATTCAATTTGTTAAATAGTTTTGTTTTCTTTGTTTTGTTGCAAAAGTATTCGGAATTACTAATTACTGCAAATTGCTTCATTATCTTTGACATAGATTTGTTTTGCCATATGCCTAGGCATATATTCATTATTAATTTAATACGAATTTATCGTCATGCCAAGTGTTTGTTTTTGTGTTCGCGAAGGTGGAATATTTTATTTGTATATATTATGTATACCTTTCATTTAATTTGTATTATATTAGCTTTACTTTTACTTAGTTGACTGCACAAAATTTACAAAAATTACGTCTTTAACTCGCCAACGAGAGAACCGACACCCTGGAGAGAGGCATTTAAATATATCTCAAAAATTGCACAATTGCATCACTCCTGACAGCGGATAGCGGACAGTGGACACACCTGTGTGTGGGCTGCCATTCCACCTGCACCTGCACCTGCACTTGCATCTGAATCTGCATTTGTTTGTTTTTGTTTTTTGTTGTTTTTTTGGTTGCGCGCAAATGCCATTTTATTAACCCGATGCATTGTTTGTGGTTGGTTTTCGTTTACTCATTTAACATATATAAAAATATGATTATAATTATTTGCTAAAAACCTCTAAAATGTACGCCATGTTTAAGGCATTTAGAAATTGCAAAGAAGAACATCACCAGACAAGATTTATGCTGTTGTTGTTGTTGTTGTCTCCGGCCATCAGCTGTGCCAGATTATTACAAAAATGGTATTAAACGCGCGATTTTGAGCACGTTTTCCAGAAATGCGCTCCACAAATCATTTAATCGCTTTGAACGTGACATCAGAAAGCGCCAGGTGAGCAGCACGGCGACCACTTTTATTAGCTGATGCAGATAGTACAATCTACAAAAGATTGATATATGCCAAAGTTAATTAATAAATTTTAAAATAACATTAATTTTTAACACTAACCTGACCATACGCTTTCTGCTTGCGGGCAGCGATTCGGGCCGCTGTTTGAACAAAAATTCCCTGAAGCCCAAAACATAGCGCTCCACATATTTATCCCAGTTAATGTTGCGCACATCAAATACAAAAATCTCACGATCCTTGGGACTGAGCGTATGCAGCAGACCATTCACATTGTCGTCCTTAAAACGCCATTGACGCGTGGCAAAATATTCTAAGCATTCTACAGCTTTGGCAATTTTGTTTTGTACGTTGACAACACTGAAAAGTGAAGAAGAAGAGCTGTTTAAAATGCCTGCATTGGTATCAGCTGCTTAGCTAATGGCTGCCTGTGGGAAAGCCCCTGCTTGATAGTTGTTTGCTTTCCCAGCATTATATACTTACAATGGCTTCTTGCCCATTATGCGCGCCACTGCATCCAGTATGTGGGCTGGTAGAAAATGTTTTAATACACAATTCAGCGTGTTCATGGGACGATTCATGCGCAGGTCCCCAGTTGGATACCACAGACAACCCTCTATAAGGCATTTAAGAGTAAAATATTAAATAAATTTCCATGTTGATCTATTTGCAAAAAAAACCTACCCAAGGGATGTTTGCGCACACTGGACATGGCATATTTGACAAACTCAGACCATATGATGGGATTACGTTGACCGGTACAGCAATTGTATATGAGTAAATTATTGGATTTACGCGTCGCTGTGCGCCAGGCAGCGGCAATCATTAAATTAATCACAATATCAACAGGTACCATATCGGCCACATAGTTCTTTTCGCACATCATTGTGCGGAAGAGGCCCTTGGCCAGCGCCGAGACTAGACCCGTTGGCCCATTGAAGTTATCCACCCAACCGGCAAAGGGCTCATTCAGGCTGGCAGTCACTAAATAGATATAAATACGTATATTTAACTATAGAATATTATCTTCTATGACAGACATACCAATCGAGGGCCTCACAATGGCAACGGGCAGATTTCCAGCCTCTTTAAGTAACATATGCTCCGCTAAGGCTTTTGTAAATGTGTACGTATTTGGGCGCTTGCCAATGAGGCGCGGTGTCAGCTTAGAAAATATCAGTTAATAAAAATATGTATAACTGTTATTCCAGTGATAATACCTGATCAAGTATATCCTCCGGAAGCCAGTTGATTAATGAGATGATATCATCGGGATTATAGGGTGGTGCATAGATAACCTCTGATACGTCGGTTCTATCGCAATTGCAATAGGCAGTGGATACATGAATAAGTGCCTATAATAGATGTGCATTGGTGAGGGGTAATTGCGAAAAGTTCAACAAGGCGGGGTACTCACGTCTAGGGACATCATGCGATGACAGAGCTCGACCAGCCGTTTAGTGCCCAGCATATTGATTGTGACTGATAATTTGAGCTTCTCATCGAATTTCACAGTGGCAGCTGAATGAAATACAACGGAAACGTTGCGACAAAGTAGGGTCTGTATAAAGAGAGAAAGTTATGGTTAGTATCAAGTTCTATAACTTGCATTAGACCGTACGCACCTGATCACTCTCTGAGATGCCCAGCTCCTCGGATGTTATATCGCCGGATATGGGTATGACTTTGCTTAATTCCTTCGGCTTCTCGCGACGCAGTGATTCGAAAAGCTGTCAATTAGAAGAAGATTGGTTAGTTAAAGAGCTGATTTGATATTTTGAAAAGCTATGCATTACCGGCGCATTTAGGAGTTCCGTGAGGCGCGCCGAAACTTCCTGGCCGCGTTTCGGTCGTATCAGCAGATATATGTTTCTTATGTCCGGACATGAACGTAACAGTTTCTCAACGAGCACCTGGAAAGTAAATATTAATTATTACTAAATAAATTAAATGCACTAAGATCAACCCATAGCCCAAGCCATAAGAGCTACGAAGCTGAATTCTTTTAAAATCTAGTTCACAATTTTCAGAAAATCTACCCTTATCCTTGTTGGAAATGGAAATCAAAAATTCGGTGGGGAAAGTTCAAGCTAAAATTCCTTTGTAAGCTCTTTGTGAACAATGCACATCTCAAACGGTGCATCATTAAAGGAAAGTAAGCTTCTATGATGTAAGTAAGGGGTTCCATATATTCTATATTTCACGCAAAAGGTTGGAATCTGTTTTTATAAAACCTGCTGCATTTTATTATGTTGAAAATCACTTTGGCTGGCTAATGTTTGCTAACTGGACAGCTCGAAAAGGCTGGCGCACTTAACTTTTGATTAATCAATTTCAGTTAGTCTCTTGGCGAGCTAACCCCTTTACAAACAAGACGCATCCATTAGCCCAAAAACTATAATTACGGCCAGCCAATCAGACCGCCCTCTTTTACTTGGGAGGGGGCAGCAGTTCAAGTGGCGGGCCAGTGAGCAGTCAAATAACATCAAATGAATGGTTAAACGCCGAATCGAGTGTTATCAATGGCCATTCACTAGTATTGTTGAAGGACATTGACTGGAAGTGCACGCAGCCTGACACGCCCAAAATAACCAAGTGAAAATTGTATGGGAACTACAAGCACACAATTATAGTGACAACAACATGGGCTGTGAAGGGGGAGGGTCTGCTGTGACGCGCAGGTAGCAGGTTGTGACATTTAAGTTACAGTGCCTGGCAACTAGATTACAAAATCGATGAATGCTACTCCCCAGTAAATGGCAAAAGTGGGTATAGTACACGCAAAACAAATAGCGTTTGTCACACTGTGCAATTGAGTGGCAGAGTCTGAGCGGCGCCGGCGCCAGCGATTACATGTCATAATGGCGCAGGCAGGAGGCATGCAACGCGCACACACACACACGCACACATATGCAAAACAATGGCTGAAATTGGCACAACAGCCGAAGGATATGTAAGGAGTCTAGAGGCAGAGTCCAAGTTGTATGCACACACACATACACTTGATGAACAATTAGAGCTGATGTGACGTGTGTGTAAGTGTGTGTGTGTGTGTGTGTTTTTAAGCAAGCTAGAGATGTGCACGTGCCTTGAAATTCATTTACGTGCAGGCCAGTGCCTGAAAAGACCCAAGTCCAAGAGACAGTTAAGTTAAATATTGGCCTGATTAACTGACTATCGCAGCCGAGCTCATCCCTGACTCGAACTATCGTTACAAATAATTGAAAGAAACTATCATTTATATAAAGCAAAACCAAATAAAAGTGACGCACTTAAATAAAATGACTAAACACAATATACAAAAAGCTGTTCGTCGTAAAACAAATATTTTTTTATATGTTATATGCCATGGTCGCAAATACGCCCCCGCCCATCTCTAGTGCAAATCATGTGACATAGACATGCCAGGACGATGAGTCAACACCAGACACTCTGGCTGAGATGTCAATGCTGGAAAGCGCTTTAAACACTCGATATCTATTGGGGCACACACACCCAGTTGTTGATTGTCGATTTGCATATAGCTTAGTAAGTTCCGACGAATAGAGTAACCTCATTTGGTTCGTGTGTGTGTGGCTGGCAGGCGTGGCCGGGGCCATAGAGTTCAACACTCCATGATGCAAATTATGCGAATAACAATTGCATGCAGCGCACGTGGCGTATGCGTGATGCGTGCTGCGTGCTGCCCAATAAAGTAGGCAATAAAACTTGCTAAAGCCTAGCAACAGCCGAATATTTGGCTGGTAAAAGGTTGAGCCAAAGCTTTAGTTAGTATTTTAAATGGTATTGCAGCTAAAGGGCAAAGTTGAACCGTAAAGCTACGAAATGGCATGGACTAAACATTAGAATTGAGAACTTGATATTCACCTTGCAAATCTAATCTGAAATCTGACATGACACGTGCTCATCTCTATTCAAAATGTTGTTAAAATCGATTGTTCGATTGTTTACTTAATCAACACAAATGCTAAATCAGACACGGCTTTTCGGGATTTCCGTCACGCACCCTTCCAATCGATTAATCGATAACTTGCTTATAGCATAACTAAAACGACCTTAATTCTTGTGCTGCTCCTAAACAAACACTCGACTATTCGCTTTAGGTAACAACTCGAATTCTTTTGTCCACCATTAACAAGGCTTTTTGGAATAATGAGTCGAATAATCGATATCTTACCTTGCCCATAAAACCGGTCCCGCCCGTAATGAATACACTCCGTCCAGCATAGAACTGTCCGATGGGCACATAACTGGTATCATCGACTCTGTAGCTCTCGTACGGTGACTGCAGGCCGCCATTGCTGGGCAACGCTGTGGCCGGCGCGCCGCCGAGCAGCGCCGCATTGTGGCCAACTGCGGCCGCACCACTTCCGCTACCGGCACTGCCCGCGCCACTTCCGCTGCCGGCGCTGGCATAGCTGACAGCTGCGTGCGCCGCAGCAGTAAGTCCATTGCTGCGCGGCTGATGCGACGAGTGGGTGCCGTTCAGCAATGAGAACGCCGCATCGCTGTTGATGTTGCTGTTCTTGAGGCAATTGCTGCTGCTGCTGTTGCTGTTGCTGCTGGTGCTGCTGCTGTGCGGTTGCTGCTGTGCGGGCTGTGGCGTCTGTTTGAGGCTGTTGCTGTTGTTGTTGCTGCTGCTGCTGCTGCTGATGCAGTTTTCCGTTTCTGTTTTGTTGGCGACGGCGTGTGACATGTTCGTTGCGTTGTTGTTGACGCTGCTGCTGCCGTTACGTGTGGTTCTTGTTGTTGTTTATTGTTTCTTTTTTTTGTTATTTTTTTTTAAATATTGTTAGTTAGGAAGCAGTTCAATTCATTTGCAATGTGCGCTTTTCAATTTGTTAATCAGCTAAAATAAATGTGTTTTTATTGTTCAAGTTTCGCTTCGCTTTTGCTCTTTTGCCTTTTTCAGTGGAAGTGTTTTTTATTTTCTGAGGGAAGTTTTCTGTTGTTTACTTGGAACACACCGCAGCTAATTATTGTATTGGTTGATATATATATTTATATATGCAATTCAAATTTCACAGAATTTTGCTGAAAATGTTCGTGCTGCTTCCGCCGTTAAGAATTTTTCCATTTTCGTGTTGCTATCGACATTAGTTGCTTAGCAATTGGAAAGTAGGTTCACGTAGAAGAAGCCAAACAGGAAGAGTCCTGTCCGCACATGTATCCCACAAGTTGTCCTTATGTATGTGTGTTTCTTGTGCTTGTATGGAAGAGGCGACAAAAGCTGAAGAGCTGCTAAGTTCTGCTGAAATTAGAGAACAAAGAAGCACAATTATAAATATAATTTAAATTTATTTCACCAATTGGAAAAGCAAAAAAGAAAAATTTAAATAAATTCAATTTATTTTTCCAAGTCATGGATAAAAAAAAACAAAGTGACATCTTTATATTTAGCTCGAGCTGCAAGTCGAAAGTGAGGCGGACAACCAACGTTCAACTGAGAGAACCCACATCACAGACTGCCTGCCCTGCCAGCCGTTGCTGTCTATCTATCAAAGTGTCATGCGAGCCTGTGCCTAAAAATAGTTGCCTTTGACACATGTGGCATGTGCGTGAGGAAGCCCCAAAACGGATACCACAATGCTTGTCAGCCTGGCGCAAGCATCAATTTCGGCCAAATGACGTCGATGGTACGATTTTTATCCTTGGACGGCAGCCAGCAATGCCTTTGCCATGACGTCTGAGACAAACACAAAATACAGATGCTAACACACTCGGTCTAATATCCTTTTACACTCACGGTCTCAACCGCAATTCAATTTAACGCTCAATAGCACAAAATATGCAAAGCTCTTTAAGACTTTAAGCCGCTTAAGGGCAGGCCTCAACCAATTGAGGAACTAACCAAACAGAAAAGCGGCTAAAACCACACAAACAGCGTTCGCCGAGACGCTGCTATCGATATCGATGACAAATTACGAATGCGCACTCTGCCGCCTGTGGACGGGCATTCTATATTGAAATGTCCAAGTGCGAAGCGACGACGAGTTATTTGGGACTGCTGAAAGCGACGAGATGATTGGCACATTTTCGCACATCGTCAAACTAGGAACAGAGTTAGATTCAAGCGCTGACCCAGCCTAGCTGCTAAGCAGATGCGCTGTAAAAGTTGTCGCGCAAAGCTTTTCACACAGGCACAAGGCACGCACAGGCCAAAGCTAGACGCTTAGCAGGGCGGACAGACGCAGCTTGCAAAAGCTCACCAATACTAGTGCAGCCAGCAAATGTAGCGCAGCAGATGATATTTAGTCGTATTGTTTTAGCTGCCCCAAAAGAACCCATACGCTCGGCCAAAAGCAAGTTGACGTATTTACAAATCAAGCGCACGTCATCTTCATACTAACTTTAAGTTGTAAAAATATTGAATGAATCTGTCAACAAAATGACAGCTACAGCAAAAGCCAATGCAAATGCCGCTAAGTGATTGTTGTTTTGTTATTGTATGTAGTCAAGCACAAACAAAAATTACCATTTCGTTAGAACTGTTCGTGCGTGTGTGTGTTTGTGTGTGTGAGTGTCTGTTCCCGAAAGAAACGATTCCGTAACCCTAGGGCCAGGAAACACACCCTACGCAATGTACGTAAATATATCGATCAGGGTTCAAGTTGTCACAGCATTGTAAACAGCATCTGAGCTACTTCCCCTTCCCTCTTTCACGGCGGAGAAAACTTTGCACCTAGGAAACTATCGTAATTGCCTTTGCTAATTACCATAAACGGCAACAACAATGGAATTCAAATTAAACACTGTCCAAATATTGAACATGGACAGGAACTGTGAATGCGACACGTTGCGGCGATTAACTCATGTTTGGTTTCTTTTCAGTTTTTTGTTTTTGTTTTAGGGAACATCTCCGTAATGCGGACATTTGAACGTTGCTGTTGCTGCTGCTGCTGCTGTCTGAAATGCGTCTCAAATTCAAGTCCAAAGCTGGGCCAGCCCATGGCTTTCACTTTTAAATATCTAAATTCCGCAATATGTTGTTGTTACTTTTTTTTTTGACGTATTTAAATTTGGTAATTTTTTTGGATGAACAAAATGTTCAAACTTTCGTTTTCATTTGGCGTGCAGCAAAAATCTATTTCCAGAGAGAGAGAGAGAGAGAGAGAGAGGAAGAGCGAGCCACAAAGCGAATGAGAAAGATTTTGTCTTTTTGTTGATTTTGGATATTTTTTGGTTTTTTGGGTTCATTTGTATTTTGAATTTCTTTCACTGACACAGCGTTTATTGTGTATTTTTTGTTGTCCGGTTAAGAAATGTGTTAAAATGAGCTACGAAATTGGCACAGCTTTTCTCATGATATTATCGAATCATATCCGCTGCTCTGAGTGGCCCATCAAACGAGCTACGAACTACTGCTGCTAATAGCTGCCGTATAATTAAAGTTTAAACAGCTCGATGCCATCTGGACAATCAAGCGGTCTCATCACGTAACTGTAAATTTATCAATGGAGCTTCCCAGGGAATCCAGTTTTTTTCGGTCAGCAACATCTTCTGCAGGCGCTGCCGCCGCCTCATTCTAAAGTGAAATTTCTTGAAAATCAACTTTTTCATCGCATGAATTCGCGTGCTCTCTATCTCTTTCTCTCTCTTTCTCTCTCTTTCTCTCTCTCTCTCTCTTTCTCTCGCTCTCTGTGTCTCTCTCTCTATTTCTCTTTTTCCAACTCTTCCACTCTCTGCGGAGAAATATTAAAAATTTGCGCGCCTAAGCAAACACCAGGCTGAGATCGAACATGTACAACCGCGCACCACTGCACCACCAAACAAACCACGCCTCTGCGCGTGTTAACCAAACATGAAGACCAATCTGTAACTGCAGCGTTGCGTATACGTGTGCGTGTGTGTGTGTGTGTGTGCTGTTAAACGGTAAACATTCAACCTGCCTTGACAAGGTAGTTACACTGTTGTGCCTGTGTATTGTCTGACCCATTTCCTATAATCGTGCCGCATATCATCATCGTCAGCGTCATCGACATCGACAGCAGCGACAACAACAGCAGAACAGAAACAACAACAACAATAACGACATCGACCACTGGCCCTGGCTCTTATACACAAGCCAGCTCGTCTTTGTCTGTCCATTACTGGCCACATTTTAGGCCAATACCCTTGGCAAAAATCAGACAACAACCACTTGATAATCAGTTCTGTAACCCCACTAAAGCTAACTTGAATTGGTTACATATCTTTCAAAAATGCATTAACTTTATAAATTAAATAAATATATGAATTAATCTTCGAACATTAATTATCCCATTTAAAAAGTGCTTACAGTTTTTAAAATGATTATATTATATTATGTTATCTTATATTTTTTTTTTCTAAAAGTATCTATTGAAAAGCTATAAAAAGAAAATTTAACTTTACTTAAATCATATAGAGCCAAATATTTAAATATAAATAATGGCATTCATAGGGTTCGTGCAGTTCTAAAACCATTATATATTATGATATTAGCTAAATATTTTTCTATTGAAATAAGTTTATCTAGAAACTTAACTTTTTTGTTTTTCATTTTCATTGAAAAATTGAAACGCAGTATTTTGGACTACGCTTAAACATTGTAACAAAGTTTGTGCACTAAATAAAATCAGGTAAATATTTTAGTAATTAGATGAATAAATAAATAGATGAAAATAGATAAATCTTTCTAAGAACGAAAACAAATTAAAATAGTTAAGTGCTCTTGCCTTATGCCGCTTTCCCTACATAACGTTAATAATACAATGACTGAATTTTCAAAGGAAAAAAAGCGCCTTGGTTCGAAAGTGCAGTAAGTTTATTAGTTTCGGTTCGTTAAACAGCCTTTACTCCATTTAGGAGAAATGCAAAAACTAAAAGCAAACCTTAATTAAAAGCTTGAAATAAGTAACATAACACGTATTGCACACATTTTTATTGTTTCACGTTTGGTGATTTAATATTCATTAAATTTGAAATGTTTGCAAAATTAAAAGTAGTTTTTATTAAAGGAATGACTAAAATAACTAAATATAAATATCAATAGTGCATACATTATTCGTTGGGTCAGCTTTAATTCTTTCAGTCTGCTTTCCGATTGCACTTTATGCCGCATTTGCTGGTTCTCTATTTCTGAGAGACCTTGTTGCTTTCGGATTACAGGTCTTTTGGGGCTTGAGGAACACGCTGAAGCACTGCTTGACATATCGTATGGACTCTGACCAAGGTCTAATAGTGGGTTCTACTGTTTGTTTTAGCAATTTTGAAGAGTCTTTCATCAATCAGAAGACGAGGCGACTACAAACGAAAGTTCAAATACACATATTTTCACTTTTCGACAATGGGGCACATTATGTAAATGTAAATCCCGAGCGGATGCTGTGCACAATACGGCATCATAATGGGTCTGTGCCCTCTATTCTATTGAACCTTTAGAGTCTGACGAGTGTCTCGTTAGTGTTGTTGTCTATTCTGTGTGTGTGTGTGTGTGTTGGTTGTGTGTGCCTCCACCCGCCGCTCTGGCTGATTTTACAGTTATCGTAAGTTATCTATGCTTTGTGTGTAATTGAATAAATCTGTGACAGACTCTGCGGCGAGCTAATCTGTGCCCACAGTTCTCTGCAACTGGTGCCTCCACCTCGGCCTGTGTGCCCATAATTTGCGCATTTGATTAACAAACAAAGCGCTTCGCAGTTTACAGCATAAAAGTTAAATTTAAGTGTGTATAAT